TAGCACTGTTATCTTAGATTTAAACCATATCATGGAGGCTGAGATTTTCAAAGCAGCTTAAAGGATTTACAGACATTTTCCATTCAAATTAAGGATCTTTCTTTCAAAATCCTTTTCATCACTATGTCTTGGTGGCTTTGTAGTTGTTCTTTAAGCAGTGCTTCACTTCAGTCACACAGAAATTCTTTGTGCTGCTACTTAATGTTCCCTAAAAGGGCAAAGAGGAAAAGGAGTGGGAGAATGGGAATGCTGTGCATTGCATTTGCTGTCTGCAGCCTCTCAGTGCTGCTCCAAAGTGCTTTAAAATCCCCCATGCCCCCTGTGACACTGACTTCAGGTGCTCCCCTGCATCCAAGTATGTGGGAGTGAAAAAACTTCCCAGGACTTAAGGTGGCAGCTTCCTCTCCTGCTGCCTGAGTTAGTCCCTGACATTACCAGCTTTTCTTCTGCCTGTTTCTTCATCCCTTTCCTGCCTGAAATGGTCCCAGGCAAGAAATGAGGCATTGCTCTCCCATGTGATCCTTGCTTTCTTCTCTGCCTTCTCGGCACAATACAAGCTTCTGAAAACAAATATGTTATGGGGAGCTGTCCTCTGCACCAGAACTGATGGCTGCAAATGTTTGACTTGTAAAAGATGACTCGTGGTGAGGTGTATGCCACTGGAAATTCAGATCTTCTTAGGTCAGAGTAGCCTTGCTGCATGATATCAGTGGCCTGTTTGGTTCAGAGATTATCGTTGTGACACTGGCACCTATTAAGAGCTCAAAGAAGCTCTACAGAAACCATTTTCAAAAACACTGCACTCAAAAGAAAATATTTTACATTTGCTAAAAATGTTGATATAGAACTTGAGACTTGACACAGGCTAAATCAGTTTACATTACTTTTCTTTCTGATTTTTGCTGTTAGTGTAACCATTAGCATTTCAAATCTATATAAATTTTAATGTTAATTATGTAAGTGTCCAGTTTCTTTTAAGATGTGCTATATATATTAAAATCAATCACTTTAAAAATTAATACACTCTGATGCAGTGGATATCTGAGACTAGCTGAAAACTTAGCCTGGAGGATTTTGCCTTCCTTTAGGTTCAGAGGATTTTGTCTTTCGTTTTCCACAGGGCACTTAGTTTTCCTTCAGGGCACCTAGTGAAGGTACAGTGCCAACACAGCCCACCCTTGGCAATGGGACAGGAAAACAACACCAGGAAAATAGGAATGTAAGTATAATTACTGTGTGTGTGACTCCAGTCCACAAGTGCTCATACCAGCTTGAAAAGTTCTGTCCAAAACTGTTCATGCTAAATGGTAAAATGGCCAACAGCCAGATCAAACAGCTACCTAGGAATTATAAAATTTAATAAAAAAAAAACTCAAAAGGAGTAGTGATGGGCCACATAGCACAAAATCAGCAGGAATGAGTGGCTCTTCCAGTGCATCACACCAAAAACCTCCCCCAGTGTGTTTCACTTATTGGTAGATGAAGAATCCCCACTGTAATCTGGAACCTGGTGGTTTGTCTGGGCAGGTACTGTTCTGCTGAAGGGACAGCACAAGGTTTTTATAGATCCTGTTGAGTCACAAATAACTCCTCAGGAGCTACTGTTTTACTCTCTGCTGTTTGTAAAGCACCTGGGAAAGACACAGAGCGAAAAGCTGAGGAAGCTTATCTGAGTCAGGAAAACTATTTCAAATTTGCCCAAATGAAGTAAGAGCCCTGATGATGGAGTTATTCCCACTCAACTCGAGTTCCCTGGCTCAACAGGAGCACAGCCCTGCCTGTGAGTTTCCAGACACTGGTCTGAGTTTCCCAGAACATCTGTGCTGCACTTTCCCAGTCAGCCCAGGCACTGCCCTCCTGACAGTTTTTCCCCACAGGCAAAACTTGACCACTCTGCTGCAATTTAAACCAAAGTACCTTCAGTGTGATGGCTCTGTGCATCCTGCTCAGTGGATACCTGCTGCACTAAGGGCATGATGGCCGTAATTGTATCCAGGACCTTTAAGAAACTATATTTTTATTAGCCCATTATAAATCCTGCATTAAAGCCCTTTTTTTTTTTTTTTTTTTTTTTTTTTTTCTGCGTTGTTTCAGTTTCAGTCCTTTTCCTCTCATATTGTAAACATGCAGCTCCATGAGCAGTGCAGCCAATGAAGTCTGCTTTTCCATAGGTTTATATCCCATTGGTTGGGTTCCCTGCTGCCCAGGACCATGCAGGCTCCTTCCCAAGCTTGTATTGCACTCTCATTTCTGCCCATCTTCTACACCTTCCCCTTGTGTAAGAACTCTTTGTGCCCCTAACAAATGGAGTGTCAGGCTGTTGTTTGCCCCTTACCAAGATCTCTTTCCTCACTGGAGATTGAGAGGACTTGATTTGATAGCCCTGCCCCTCATGAGTGTGGATCAGATCAGAAGGCATCAGACAAACGTGAACAGTCATAACTTCAAGAAGCCAGAATAAAACCACTTTTTTCCCCCTCTCTCTTCTTGTTGTTTTTTTCCTTAATTCCACATTTGTTCCCTACCCAAGTCTTTGCCTCCCTGATGGAGATTTTTGCTTCAGTGGCAGTTACAGGGCACAGAACAAGGCACCATTGCAGTTGGGGAAAATGTCCCAGCCTGGGCCCTCCTTGAAAGCTGAATTCAATTATTTATTGAGAAAATCCCCTTGACAGGTAATTTGCTTCAGTATTCGTTTCTGCAGTGCAGTGTAACATGGTGTTAGATATTGGAAGGAAAAAGAGATATAATGGAATACACTTTATTTCTGTTTCTAAACTGCATAGTCTTCTCTTAATTTTTTGTCTCTCTCTATATTGAAGCATTCTAAAAATCTGCCAAGTTCATTGTCAGTGTTTGTTTTAAAAGCCTTACAAAACACACATAGATCCTTAAGTTCCTTTCAAATTAATTGTAATATTGGAAAATTAGGTTTTTTGTCTTTTCTAGTATTTTCAGGAAGTAAAGGCTGAAAATCAAACAGGAATTTTTATGCTCACATGTTCTCTGTGCTTGTAATAATTACTACCAACTGTGATCACCAGGGAGACAGCAGATTCAGTGAAATTTATTCCAGTAAATATCTAACAAAATACCATATATTATTAAGTAGAATATTTTTTTTCTAAAGATTAAATTTTTTCTGTCCTCAGCTCCTTTGCTTTAAAGGACAAAGTGGCTTGATGTGTAACAACCTTTACTAGCAGAAAATTATGGATAACTTATCTGTAGAGAAAGCTTCATCTTAATTGATGCCCATTAGCATTCAGCACAAGCCTTTAGAAATCAACAGAAAAAACCTTGTACTAATTTTTGTGGGGTTTGTACCCACAGTCTACTCATGGACATTTTATAAATGTTCTTATTTGTTACTATAGATGTCCTGTTCCACAAAAATATTCAATCCATTTCTGAAATCTGCTAAAATATAACATACCTACCTGTTCCTCACACACTGCTTACAGAACAGTGCTACAGAATGTTTCTAGATCATCTTTGATCTCTAAAATTGAACTGACAGCCTCTCAGCAATAATCACACTCATGAGATTCCTGATACTTCCAGCCTTTTACCTGGATGGGAGAAACTGCACTTTGCTTTCTTGCCCATCTCTGTAAGGATTTAGCTGCATAACTTTCAGACCAAACCTTGGAATAAATCCGTTGGATTTTAGCATAGATGTGTGAATGGGGTTTTAACTTGTCTGTGTCAGTTTGTTGAACTCATTCAGACATCCCCAGCTGTTAGGAAATGCAAACTGCTTTGTGATCTTCTCAATAAACCTTGACATCGTATTTAGTTTTTGAGGATGATGAGACAAGCCAAAACATGAGGGAGTTGGTACAGCTGAAAATGCTGCACAATCTGCAGTCTTTGCTCAAAAGGCAGAATATCCATATCCATGGATCCTTCACTGAAGTGCTGTATTTACCTTGGTGTGACCATTCCAAAGGAAGGTCTGGTGTCACTTCTGCTTCCCATAGAAATGAAGTGCATGAGCTTTGCAACATCATGTGCTCTACCCATATTGATTAACAAATTCCCTAAGAAGCAGAATAATATTCTTACAATAATAGCTCATTGACAAAGAATTGGACTTCTGGGACTCTTTGCAGCACAAAACCTGAAATCCGTGACCAGTCATTGGATCCAAAGATGGATCCAGCATTTTCAAGAGTAAGGGATATTATAACAGAAGTATTGTAACCTAGAGAGGTTTTACTGTCATTCTTTTGACATCAGACTATTACAGGAGGACCTGAAGGGTTTTCTAATGCCTATGCTAACAAGGTAGTGGGGAAAACATACAGGAAAGTGTGGCTAATCCATTCCTAAAGAAATATGGATGAGAGGACAGTGTATGTTGCATATACTATCCTCCCATATCCACATATTCTGTTTGAGTAAACTAAAAAGCACTCCAGAATCCCATTCCTTAAAATACATTCTGGGAGAGGAATTTAAAAAGTAGTGTGGTGTAAAAAAATGAGTAAATCCAAGGCAGATTGTCATTAGGAGTAAACTGGCTGAAATAAAAGTAGCTACTCTAATGAGCCACTGTTTTTAATAGCCTTCTTCTGAGACTGTTTTAAAAGGGGGAACATGTTCTGTAGCACCTGCATGTCCTTCTGCCTTGCTGTCCGTGTGCTTAGGCAAGAAGACATGTCACCTCCATTGCTAACTTCTGTGACAAGGATTTTTCTGTCTCCAGGCCTGGGCTGCTGTTTGTCCCACTGGCCCCGCAGCAGCATCGGCTCCCCAACAGCCATGGAGCAGAGCAGGCACATCCTGAGTGCTGCTTCTCCTTGCTCCTGAGGAGCCAGACCTCATCCATCACCCACAGCTGCCTTTTCCTCCACGCTGTTGCCTGCCAGCCCAAACCTGAAGCACAACCACCCAGCTCCTTCAGTCCCGGACAGCGTTTGGTGACTCTGGCCAATTATTTGCACTGCCCCGAAGGAAACTGGGAAAAATCATCTTTGGAAGCAGACAGATTTTGCTTGCTGTCACCAGAAAGGTTACTTTCTTCTTGGTGGATCAATTCTTGTGCATGGGAAAATAGATTAGAAACACGCCGTCAGGTACGCTGCACACAAGACAGACAGATGGAGAGAGTGGTATCTATCTGCTGCAGGGAATTGTCACAGGGGCACAACTCATTGCACTGGTTCTTAGAGGGCTTAATTTGCTGCTGGTAAATAATCTATTTTTTATTACCTCACATCCCCAGATTGTCAACATTCTCAGCTTTTTGCCACAGCTAATTAGACAGGCAAAAGCCTTATAGCCTAAAGAACAAGTCTGAGCTAAGCACCTGCCAAAATATCTGACTTTTTTTTAGAACTGGAATGTCAAAGAGTGAAGGGGCTGCAGATCACATTTAAACGCTTTGAGCATCAATAAGATGATTAGACCCATGAGGCAAACGTTCAGAATTTCTCTCAGACTCACCACTGAGAGAAGGCAAGATAAAACTCTGATAGATAAAAACTACTGTGCAACGGTACCAAAGCTAATTATTCTGCTGAACTCTTGGAGAAATCTTGAAGGGATGTGTTGACAGCATGCTCTATGTGGCCACTTCTGTTCAGGAAAGCAATATTTAATTGCATATGTGAATGAAGTCTCTCTGTGTAAAGTATAGCTCTTGGAAAATAAATTGTCTGAACCAAAACAAAGAATGACCTCACTGTTAGCCAGGCAAGGCTGATTTGGCAGGCAGAAGGGAGATTTTTTTGTTGTGGTGGTTTTTTTTTTCATGGTGGTTTTATTTTGGTTTTCCCATCTTTATTTTAAATTCCTGTTTTCAAACAGATAATTTTACAAGGAGATTTTACGTTTTACAAAAAGCTCTGCACCAAGGACAAAAGGCACCAAATGACGCCCCACTATTAGGCATGCCATGACTAAGGAGTGCCAGCAAATAGCAGCAAAGGTGTCCCTGCAGCCCCTGTGTGTCCTCAGGGGACAGACTCGTGGTGTTGATGGCTCAGTGCCCACACACACTGCCTGCAGCACCTCCTTACCCTGCACTTGGTGACCAGGAGCAGATCCACAAGGCTGATGGGGTGTCCAGCATCCCTACATCTGAAGAAAGAGAGGATGTTAGAGATACTGGAGAGGGAAATGGCCTCTCCAGCCTGAGCAGCAATTCAGCTCAGTGGGACTGTCACTATTTAAGGAGTGGAGCAATCAAGCTATTGACTACCTTTGCCTTATGAGCCCCAGGACCTACTTGTGCCTTTGGAAGCCATCCCAGAATTTGCTGACTTGTGATTAGTCAGGGACCCCGTTCTCTCAGCTAAAGTGGATAACCTGCTTTTCCCCTATATTGACTTTTACTGCAATAACTTTTTGTACTTTTCTGTTTCTGATATTGCAGAGAGAGAGATGGAATGGAGTTCAAGCAGGGAAAATTGATATATATCATCTGCCTGCACCAAAGTATAAGCAGTCACCAGCTGATGTCATGCATTGCTTGATGACGTTCATATTGCTGGAAAAACCTCTAGGACTGAAAATAGTAAGCATTAAAAAAAATGGCAGACTGTGTGTTTCTTTTTCTAATTGAATAGAAGGTGGTAAATTTCTTTTTGTTCCATTTGTAGGCATGGTCTTATTTTATATTGATTTGCTGTTCTTAAAATTTAAAAAAAAATCAACTCCAAATAATTAAGGGCTACAACAAAACCCACTGTATTTTGCCAATGCCTTCTGAGTAGCAAACTATAAGGCACCTTTGTTCTCATTCTCCATGCTGAAGATGTTCTCTCTCTCTGCCACTTCCATAATTTTTATCTACATAGATTTTATATATTCTGAAACCAGCCACACTTTGAGATGGATCATACTTTCTCCCTTGTATGAACTAACTCTGCTTCAAACTCAGCCTCCAATGCAAGACCTCTGTTCCACCCACAGAGAAATTCCTTGTGCAGAGTTCAGGGTTAGAGCCCCCAGAACAGGCACAGGGAGGGCTTTGGCTGTGTGTGTACAGATGATGCTTTATGGCAACCCTACTCTTCTTTCACACAGTTTGTAATTTGGGTCATACTCAGCACTGCAAGCTGTCTAAACTGTTTGTTGCATAGATGGGTTCCCAAAGCTCCTGTTGAGGAGGGCAGGAGGAGAGCAGCTGGGTGGATGGCTGGCAACTGGCCAGGGTCAGCCAGCACAGATGGGGAGCTCTGCATGGTCATGAGTGAGAAGAAAAGTCAAAATGCTGACATTTTTCTTTCACTTTTTTGAGTCGAGGCTTGAATAATATTAAGTGCTTTTAGTTATTGTTGTTTACCTGAGTTTTTGAAATTCAAGTTCTCTGTGTTCTCCTTTTCTATTGCAAGGAAATGAGTAAATTCTTGACACAATTCCTTTCTATCTGAGATATTTTGTGGTGTTTTCTCTCCTAGGCAGAAATATCTGTAAGAAATTGGCAAGGCTGTACAGCCATGATCTGGCTTTGCCATTCAAAGTTTATCATTCTGCTGAGAAAGCCTTGAGGATTCCCGAAGCAATGATGTGAAAATCAAGGTAAGCAGTGACTAAATTAAGTGCAGAGACTAAATTAAAATTGGACATTGTATTGTGCGCCCATAGCTGGAAAGGGTAAAGTTAAAACCAAAAGGCAATGTGGCCACTCTCTTTTGTTAGCTCTGGATTTAAAAGTCTGGCTAATATCTTTCTTTATTCAGATCAAGGTCTGATTGATTCTAGCACAGTACTGAGTCAGGTTTAGTGTGTCAACAAGAGAGTCAGCCTTTCCTTTGAGAAGTGCATCACACACATGGGCACCTACTGCAAAAGGTGGGGAAGGAACTGGTAGTGATGCTGAGGTGAGGAGCTGAAGTGGCCTTGCTCTCACTCTCTCTTTTTCATACATAAATATGCACAAGTAGATGTCTTTCATATCCCTCCTTGTGTCTTTTCCATAGGCTGCTCTGTCAAATTTGGGTTTTTCAAACTAATTTAATACTTCACATATCCAGTGAGAGCTGCTGAGGCTGAGCACGGCTGGTTTGCAGTTGGCACTGAGCTGTACAGCTTCTCCAGGGGCGCTGAGTTTGGGCAGGGACCCTGCAGTGCTGCTGGGCTGTGGGATGCAGAGCTCACCTGGGGCTGTGTTCAGATTGCACACAGGGAGCCAGAGCAGCAATTTATGCAGCAGTCTGTGATGCACCTCCACCTTTCCTGGCAGTCAGGTTAAGCCATCTCAGAAATCCCAGCCTCGACAGGGAAATCACTCAGTTTTCTGGCTCCCCTAGCCTGGAAATGCATTCCCTCTCTGCCAGGACTTGAGAGAAACACATCCATAATCCACCACTCCTGTTTATAGGAGCAAAGCTTGCTTTACTGCACTTGAATTTAAATAAAGGAATTTGCACATCCCTGATGAATTTTTTCCACCTGTATTTTTATCCATAATAGACTGCCTCTGTACTAGCAGTGACTGATCAATTGTTTGGGGGTTGTTTGTTTTCAAGGCAACGCGTGGGTGATTCTCGATCCTCCCCTGTGACAGAGCCTGCTGTTATCAATATGCTCCTTTCCTTTCACTGGGAACACAACCTGCAGAAAGCATGGAAAATAAATGGGGTCTGCTTTAACTCTAGTGACAGTCAGGGAACGTGTTTGGTAAATCAACTTCCAAAGTCTCTCCCCCTTTGGAAGTGGCCAGGGCAAGACCTGCACCTGCAAGGTGCAGTGCAGCCTGAATTGTTTTATCTTTTTCTAATTAACAGGAGTTAGTCTTTCAAAGTATCTGCAGCAAGTGGGAACCAGGAGGCTGGAGTGAGTGTCCTCTGTGGTCTCTAAAGATAGAAATGCATTTGCTTTTCAAGGAGAATAGGAAGATTAGAGAGAGGCCTGACTTGGGCTGTCAGGTCTCTAAAGCAAGATCATCACTCAGTGGGGCCAAGAATGCAGCACTCATAGAAGTGTGTGAGAACAGTGTTTTCTCACCTGTGAGCTCAACACATGCAGTGAGCAACCAGATAGAGGTAAAAGCTCAGCCCAACACAGATGTGACCCTCAGGGCTGTGGGTGCCACCCTGGAGCAGCCATGCAGGGCTGGGACAGCAGCTCTGACTCCAGCATCCCTTCTGTCCTGGCCAGAGTGCCAGAAAGTTGTGTCCTGCCAAGGACCAGAGATGGTCACACTCTCTGTGCCTCCTTTTCACCTTCCCTATTTAATTTATTTGTTTTATCAAGGCATAGAGACACAGAATAGTCCTCACATAGTTTCTATCCTTCCTACTGTGGAGGGGTTTCTGTCTCATTTAGTGGCTTTAGGCAGTGCTGAAGTTCAATGAGGAGGAGCAGGGACTCAGCTGGAAATGCCAGCGTGCCTGCCAAACTGTCACCTGAGGTGTTTTCAGATGAGGATGTCTGCAGAAATTACACTGAGGCTTGGCATCACCAGGCAAAGCAACTCTCTTAGCTCCACTGCTGACTAATACAGACAGCATAGTCTGTCACCCCATTAAGAAGCTGTAGCCGTACTGAAAATAAAAAAAATAAAAAAAAAAATAAAAAGGAATAGTGGAATTCTGTAGGAGCAACTTTTATTACCAGGAAAGAAACATCTCTCATATAAAGAGTCAGTCCATTGCTGCAAATTTAGCTAATCTTCCTCGTATTTCCCCATCCATTTCAGTGGCATGGTGTGTGTCCTGCAGCAGGATGCTGCCACTGCCATGGAGGTGCCTTAGGGGAGCAGCACAGCCCTGCAGTGGGTTTCCCTGGTCCTGCTGCTGCAGGCCTGCCTTTGGGATATCTGTGTGAGCAGGGCATTGCCCCCTGTGCACAGCAGCTCTGCAGGGCAGGGCTGGGCACCCTCCAGCAGCCCAGCCTGGATCCCTGATGGATGCTCGGCTCTGCAGGGGCTGGAGCTGCTCAGGAGCAGAGCTGAGCTCCTGCTGGGCTGCTGAAACACAGCTCCCCTTGGAACAGGGGGTTCAAACAGTGCCATTCCTCACCACAGTGTTCCATCTCATCTTTGGTGGGGAGGTTTTTGTTGCTTTAAGTGTAAGGAGCAGGGATTCCTCAAGCTCAGCTTGGTCTCTCTTTGTTAAGCTGTGCTTTTTCTGGCTCATGTTTCATTACCAATAATAATAAGAAGAATTTTCTGAACAAGAGAGATCATGAGGCTTTAGCATTTTCACCATTCAAATGTGAGTAGACCTGAATCTTCCTTGTCTGTGTGGCACCCTCCCTCAGTGGCACTAGCACAGCTGAGAAAACACAAGAGCTTTTTTCCTAGAGTGAGAATTTCAAGGGCATTGTCTCATCCAGGTCTAGCTTTATGTATCTGTAACACTGAGATTTTTCACCTCTTTACAGGACATCCTACACATTTCTATCTATCTTCTTTCTGTACATCTTTTTCCTGGTAGTCTATTTGTATTTTACTGGCTTAGTTTGTGAGGCTGTTTTCTTTCTATTTCATCTTTTTGTTCTTAGTTTTTGGATTTCCAGATTTCCTCTGAGGAACTATCTGGAGCAAAAATATATCTGTTGTCCCTCTTAGGTCTTACAGCTGAGAAAACTAATAATAGAATTTCTGTGCCTGGTCCTTTACCTGCTCTTTCTTACTATCCTCTGCAGTTGATGATGGGTTTATTGTCAAATTTAAACAAATAGGGAAAGATTGCTGGTCCAGCTGGAGGAGTGCTGCCTTGTGGTTTGTTTTACTAGGAGGTATCTTAAGTTGGTTTGAACACACTGATTGGTAAGACCAGGATTGCTGAAAAGCAAATAAAACCTTGAGGGAGCTGGAGACTTTTTTCTTTATTCTAAAGAATATATTAGCCTTCAGTTCACAATTAAATCACAAGTTCCAGAAAATCTGAGTCTCTTCCTTAAGCCTCCAAGAGGGTAAGAATTAACGTGTACTCTGTTGCAGCATGTGTTGGGAGTTAGATATTTCTGCTTTGCTAACCCTGATGGCTGTGTTTGATTCTGTATTTACCTTAGACAAACCACAAGAGTGTTTCATTAATTTGGGGAATGCCAGAGCTTTTGAAAAATTAAATCTCACTCATATCACCTATTTTAATTTCAGTATTATTCAGCCTAGGGATGTGGGGCTATGTCGTGGCTCTGTGCCCAGGAACAGCATTTCAGGCATTTGTGTGCTGCAAGGCAGTACAGTGCATTCCTTGCAATAGCTGGCTGGCCTGCAGAGTCCAGTAAGGCTGATTTTCTGTGCAGGCAGAATAGAGAGAAGTTAACTCCCTCTATTCATGCAGATATTTATATTTAGAGCTGAGTTTCCTGGTCTTGCTTTGCTTGTGCTCTCCCTCAGCACTGCTGGCAGCAGGGGTACAGTGCATTAGCTACAGGCAGTGCTCAGCTCTCCTGGTGACATTCCTGTTCTCAGACACCAGGGATTTTGGGGACAGGACAAAAGAAGCCTAACTGTTGCCAAATAATGGGAACTGAGTCTTTGGAAATCTTTTAAAAACCTTTTGGTTCACTCTAAAAAAAATATCTGACCACTTCTGACAAATACAGGGAATTTTACAGTCTGGTTTTCTATAGGAATTCTTACTTAGTTTTTATAGATTACTCAATCTCTCTGTGTGTGTTTTCCTCCACTAGAAATCCCTGAGCCTATTGGCAGACTTAAATGCAGTCTATTACAGGTTAGAAGTCCTAAAAGAAAAAGAAAATTAAATTCCTGTATCTTTTCCTGAAAACAGTCAAATGCAAAATACTGATGTTGGAGTATTCCCAGTAATAGTTTTAATAACTTCTGAACTCTGCTTTGGCATGGACTTAATGATCCCCTCATATCCTCCCCAGCCTAATGAATTTTATGACAGTTAAAACCTCAGTGTGATTTAGTTGAGGGTTTTATTTTTTAAAAAGGTCATCCAAGAGACACCAACAAATAAGAAGCAGCACTTCTCCATTGCTTTTGCTGATCAAACAGATCATTTTTCTTCTGGAGTGTCCAGGGGATTTGGATCCACACTGAGCTGATGGAAAGCAGTCTCTGGCACAACTCTGAGACGTTCATTATGGGCTTTCAACCAGACCTCTGATTCCACCTGATTCACTTCAGTTAAATTTGTCTTTCAGAATTAGTCTTGAACCCAAATAATAATTTTCCTTGTTGCTGAAATAGCCTATCTTTTATTTTGGGTTTTTTTGGTTGGTTTTTTTTGGGTTTTTTTTCCTCCAGAAAATGTACATCCCCAGCAGTCAGACAGAAATGTTTAAATAAATCAAAGATGCCATTTTGGGACTAAACTATTCTTAGCATTTACAAGGAGGAAAATATTTAATAGATCTATCATCTGTGTTAGTAAAAGAAATTCATAATAAGACATTTACAGGATTCTGGCTTTAAACTATATTCCTCAAAGCTTTTTGTTTTTTATTTTTAAATCCTCACAAAGATGTTTTGGCACTTTAAATGGCCCTGGGAACACCAAGAGTCAAGAGAGCCCACTTGGCTCTCTGGGTGCTCAG